AATCTGACTTCAATTCCGGCCAAACCCGGATGCATCTGACCGCAATCAAGTCTGGAGCTCAGTAGTGAAGTCCCTAGTCTGAGTATGCCATCACTGTTTGCCCACCTGCGCACTCGGCTGCCTGCCAACCCAACCTCTGCTTCCCTGCTGGTGCCTGTGCCCCATGCGTTATTACCTGCTTCGTTGTCCGCTTGCATCAGTCCTTTTTTTTTTGCAAATTTGTTTATTTTGGACCATTTCTCGATTTCTTCATGTCATTCTTGTGCAGAGGCCATGCTAATATCTTCTCTGTAAGGGTGTTAATTTTCATGGATGTCCCCGAGGACAGGTGCCCAATTATAGAAATTGGGCTCAGAACCCCAATAAGGAGGTTCTGCAGACTGTATAGGGTGCAGCCTTCTGATGACTAGTCAGTGCAAAAGCATGATGAAACAGTCTGACAATCTGTCGCTGGCCCCGTTTTCTTCTTCGTCTTCTTCGTCTTCTTCTTCTTCTTCTTCTTCTCCGTTTCTTCTTTTTCTTCTTCTTCTCTTCCCGTCTCCACTCAGGCTTTACTCACACTACTAGGCCTTTGCTGGACGTACCTGGCCGCTTTCACGGCCACAACTAGATGCATCTGACCACAATTACGTCCAGAGATAAGTTGAAGAAGTCCTAGGGTGGGTATGCCCCCACTACTGTGCTTGTGAGGCTCATGCCGAAGCCTTGGGTTGAAGTGCATCGCTCGAAAACTCATGTCTGAAGTCTTTATCGACCTCGCTCCACTACACAACACTATAAATGCAGTTGGACGCTTTCGGGACCCCATGCATTAAAAATGTTGGACTTGTCCAAACGCACCTGGTCCACAAAGTGACTAAATGCGTTGTAGAGTGTTGTGTAGCGGAGCGAGGCCCTATGTTCGGAGAAACCATTATGGCTGGTGTTTACAAACACAGAAAACACCCACACAAATGCTCCTCCCTCTCCCCCTTCTCCCTCTCCCCCTTCTCCCTCAACCCCAGGCATATCGTTGTTGTTGTTGTTTTATGTGTGTCATCCTTATGCAGGGGCCATGCTAATCTTCTCTGCATCGTTCCAATTTTAATGGATGGGTCGTTACCTCATTGTATCTTTCTCAATCTGTCTGTCCTCCCGCCATCGTGAAAGTATGTATGCGAGGTCGAACAAAATGCACTTGTAAGCGCATACTCACACTAGGACTTTTTCGACTCGGTTCTAGACATGATAGCAGCCAGATGCATTCAGGTGCGACCACACAATTGCAGTCAGATACATTTAGAAAAGTGTCAGTGCGAGTTTGCCGTAAATTGGCACAACGAGTGCTACAACAGCCAACTTTATTGTACCAGGAGCAATTGTCGTATCCTTCTTTTTTTTTCTTTTTTTTTTTTGCACTTGTCGTATCCTCGTGTGGAAAGACGAAGCCACTCTTAAAAAAAAAAAAAAAAAAAAAAAAAAAAAAAAAAAAAAAAAAAAAAGCCCTACAAATTTGAATTCAATCAACTTCTCTAAAAAGTCTCTCTCTCGTTTTTGCCACAATCCACGAGTGTCATGCATCAACCAACAACAGGAACTCCTCGTCCCTCTTAGTCCCAGTCCCACAAACACCGGGCCCAAGCACAGTGTCCTTTTTGGGACATTGGTTAAAACTGAAACCATACATAGATGGTGCCCCCCTTCGGGTGGCCAGCCGGGGATGAACCCCGCGCAGGGGTCCGTGCAGCAGCAGCGCAAAAAAAAAAAAAAAAAAAAAGAGCAGAAAAAAAAAATCAAAACAATCCGGGAAAAAAAAACACAAAAAACTGTGTAGAATTGCAATGCGAAGTTGCAAACCACTTTTGAGGATCACATCAGAAATCCTCACGGAGTCGGAGAGAAAAAAAATAGAAAGCAACAGAATCGGACTAAGGCACCCTGCTTTAAAGTTTAAACCCCTTCAGCCCCTTAAAAAGTTAACAACCAAACTTTACCCTCCTCCCCCCACCACCCACCCACCCCCCTTGACAGCCGACACTTGAAAAAAGAAAGGAGCCCGGATTTGGGCTCCTGCTCCTCTGGGCATGTGCAGAGAACCCCGAACCCCCCCTGCCCCCC